GATGTTTTGCTGTCTAGAAATATTACCTTATGTAATGCTCTGGTTGCACTTAATGATAAGTGATTGTTAAATGTTCATATGATGTTTTTGAAGGATAATCTCAGCTGACTCGGATACTTTGCACGTGTTTTCCCCCACTCTTTAAATACCCGTAAAAAGTAATTTTCTATATATGTCTGTAAGAAAATACTGTAAAGGAATACTGTAGCCCCAATATAGATGTTGTTAGCCTGTGAATCTTCCAAATTACTTGGTCTTTTTTGTCCATTTAAATTAAGTTATTTGCCTTGTATCGAAATAATATATTTTCAAGACAATATATTTTCAAGACACTAAGCGTCAATCTTTATGTGCCTATGCCGGGAATCAAACACCGGCTTTTGACCTGGCAAGCGAACGCTTTAACCACGAACGCACCCCATCATTCCTTGATATTGTTAAAGAATATACATTGGTACATCTATTATACATTCAAGATTGAACCCAGTTTTGTCACTATATATCTTTCAGTTTTTATGTTAGTGACATGATTTGCACACTGATAATTTAAAACAGGTATATAAATAATAATTGTTTGCAATCTTTACAGAAATTTAGTTTTCCATTTATGTAACAATTTTCAGTTTCTATTTCCTGGAAATTCTGTATGAAGGTACGTACATTTAATAGTTCCACCCAATAACAGTAAATCATACAGATAAGACGTTTCGATACTTTGATAGATTAATAAGTACAAATTATATTCCATCATATTTGGATGCCAGAATGATTAACATTTGTATAATGTATAACAAATCAGAAAGCAAAAACGAAAACGCATGAGCAACATAAACGCTGTCAGGTAGTAAGCTTTCAATAATTATCGAAACTGCTTAGTTATCTAAGCTAATTGCAGTCACTAGAGTTTTCTATAATCTTTCCAAGAGATGGAATCAAAATAGGTGTACAGTGTATTCCATCAGGTAACTGAAATTTGAGAAAACGTCTGTATGGGATAATATCTGTATTCCGAATCAAAAAGACTGACTGACTGACTGAGTTTGGTTTTACGCCACTTTTAGCAATATTCCAGCAACATCAGGGCGGGGGACACCAGAAATGGGCTTCATACAATGTACTCATGTGGGATTCGAACCTGGGTCTTTAGCGTGACTTGCCAACGCTTTACCACTAGGCTACCCCACCGCCCCCCGAATCAAAAAGAGGTCATACCAACTATGTGCATATTTACATATTTACAACAGTAATTTACTCCGGGAATACATTGTAAACATATTTTTTTTTAAAGTATAGATAATGAAATTTGTGAAGTTATGATCAGTCGGATAACTCATACAAGTGAGCACTAAAATTATGGACCTAAAATTAGGCATATATAAGAAGTGTACCTAAGGTCAGTTATTTAAACTGTAATGTAATTTCCATTACAACAAGTATAAACGATATTACCTACTGATCAGAATGACTTAATTATCAATACCCCCCAACACCGACCCACCGCCACCACCCCACCCTAGGCCTACCCCTATCCCACACCCTCTCCCTCTCACACACATGCATACACACTCCCTAACATACATATCGCTCTGGCCCATAGACCCGATATTTGAACCTTTCAAACAGACATGTGTATGTTAAGAAAGACACACATGTTAATAGTGGTGCTCAGTCATTTTTCCTGCCTGCCTGAAATATGAAACCCTGAATGAAACATCCCCCCCCCACTCCAAGGCTTGTTTCTATGGAAACGCACCTCCTCTGGCCACCTGACTGACACAGTGGGAAATTCAAATCTGAATTTAAAAATGAGAAATATATTTTCAAAATGTATGTTTTGTAGACTCTCTGCATCCATACTTTTTGCTGTGAGTCTTCACAACATACTTCTTTATACTATGACAATATCAGCCTGCACTGGTAAGTCAAATTTGTGATATTTCATGGAATGTACTTGAATACTACATTGCTTTGCATCTAAGGACAGCTTTGACAAGGCAAGGGGGCCACACCCCATCTGTGTATAGGTTTGAACCCCGGCCTTTAACACATTGCTTGTACGATGGGCATTCAGAAGTAATACACATAAGAAAGTATATGTTTGGAGAATGGGCATTTAGAAGTAATATAATAAGAAAGTATATGTTTGGAGAATGGGCATTTAGAAGTAATATAATAAGAAAGTATATGTTTGGAGAATGGGCATTTAGAAGTAATACACATAAGAAAGTATATGTTTGGAGAATGGATATTTAGAAGTAATACACATAAGAAAGTATATGTTTGGAGAATGGATATTTAGAGGTAATACCCATAAGAAAGTATATGATTGGAGAATGGACATTTAGAAGTTATACCCATAAGAAAGTATATGTTTGGAGAATGAGCATTTAGAAGTAATACACATAAGAAAGTATATGTTTGGAGAATGGGCATTTAGAAGTAATACACATAAGAAAGTATATGTTTGGAGAATGGACATTTAGAAGTAATACCCATAAGAAAGTATGTGATTGGAGAATGAGCATTTAGAAGTAATACCCATAAGAAAGTATATGTTTGGAGAATGGACATTTAGAAGTAATACACATAAGAAAGTATATGTTTGGAGAATGGGCATTTAGAAGTAATACACATAAGAAAGTATATGTTTGGAGAATGGACATTTAGAAGTTATACCCATAAGAAAGTGTATGTTTGGTGAATGGACATTTAGAAGTAATGCACATCAGAAAGTATATGTTTGGAGAATGGACATTTAGAAGTAATACCCATAAGAAAGTATATGTTTGGAGAATGGACATTTAGAAGTAATACACATAAGAAAGTATATGTTTGGAGAATGGACATTTAGAAGTTATACCCATAAGAAAGTGTATGTTTGGTGAATGGACATTTAGAAGTAATGCACATCAGAAAGTATATGTTTGGAGAATGAATGCTACGATGCCTAGAGGAAATATGAGAACCAAATAAAGTAACACAGAGAGTCAACAGTTTATTAGCTCTTATTGGTGATGAACAATTTACAAAAAGATGCTATAATGAAATGATCATAGACACAAAACAATTGTTCAAACTGTTTTGCAGGAACACATTGGTTTTGGGAGATCCTCAGTCAGCTGGCAGCAAGAAAGGCTGAGAACATGAGAGACACCTGGAAGGGGGACCTGATGATAGAGTGTACCCCTCAGTCAGCGTTAGACGCTGCACCCTCCCCCAGGGTTCTCAACACACATGTCCGGTTTGATCAACTGCCCACACAGATAGCAGAGAAGGCATGCAAAATTGTACACGTGATGAGGAACCCAAAAGACGTGTCTGTGTCGTTTTACAACCATCACAAAGCGTTAAAGGACATGTATAACTACCACGGGGAATGGAAGGACTACCACAAAATGTTTCTGGATGGGCTGGGTATGTATACCAAATGAATAGTATTTGCTCAATATCTATGTTCTTAGAGTCTTCAAATTCTGCCAAATGTTATCTAAGAACCATGTTACTGCACGTGTTTATTTGTAGCTATTGTTATTATTTACAGATGCAATCAAATGTAGTAAAGAGGGTGCGGTTGACCCTGGCACTGTCAGGTTTGTAAGGTTTATCACCAGCCCAAGTGCCCATGCCGTCTCTGCACACAGCCTAATAGCGACTTTTCCCAGGAAGCGTTCCCTGGACAATATGGAGATTCCCCAACATGGCAGCCTTCTAAAATACCCAGAGTGTCAGAAGGGGTGTGCTGCTGATAGAGTACCAGTGCAATTCTTGATCTCTCTGCGTCAATGTCTCATATTAAAACATAGTATGCAGTAGAGAGGGCTTGAGTGGTCATGTAAGGCCCTTCTACAGGTCAGGTAGCCTTGCCCCCTGTGGGAATAAATAACTGGGCGACCTTTAATCTTGAACTCGTGAGTTTATTGTTTGAGTTGACCAATAAAACAATGATTTGATGACCAATAAAACAATGATTTCATAGTGGCACGAAAATAGGTGACACACAACCATGTGCTCGTGCTCGTCAAGTTGAAGTTTACAGAAAACACTTTACCATTAAAATTAATAGTACCTGACAAAATTACTTGAAAAGTGTTGCAATACTAATAGAAACAATGCTTACAAATTTTAGGCCCATTATCCTCCACAAAGGTAGGTGTAAAAATTGAAAAGTAGAATGTTGTCTACCGCAGCAGACGTTCATCGTTCATAGCTCTCCGTTCACAACCACGAGGTCACCGCAGCGATTAGAGTTATCTGCCCCAGAACTTCCGGCCTTGTTGAGGCAACAGATAGTTGCGTGAAGCGCACGTAAAATCTTTATAAAAGATTAAAGCAAATAAATCTCTACACACCGGCCCCATAAATGTGTAGTTTTCCTTTATAACAAACATTTACCTCCAAAACCTAAATATACTCTTTTTAACCAAAGAATATTACTCGAATAAAATGACCTAAACAAATAAAAGAAATGTAATAACCAAACAACCTTACAGGTGAATACCATGATTGTATACAAAATATTATATACTGTGATTATGAATGTTTCTCTTAAATGAACTCAAAGTTTATACTTTCAATGATATACTCCTCTACAGTTACAGTAGTCACACAATCACATTTACTGATTTGCTTTATGAAAAGTCACTCATTTGACATTTGGTCAGTCATAGTGTCACTGACTCCAGAAGGTATAGTTTATGGATGGGTCTGGTAAGGATTGTCCCCCCTTGATCTCACAAGCACTGACCGCACCAGTCCGTCTCTACCTGGGAATGTCTTTTCCACACGGGCAAGTGGCCACAATTTTCTCGGTGTATTCTCATCTGTAATGAGAACAATATCACCCACACAGAGATTATATGTAGGTTTCAACCACTTCTGTCTAAGCTGCAAGGTTGGAAGATATTCCCGGACCCAACGTTTCCAGAAAACGTCGGACAGGAATTGTACATGCCTCCATCGTTGTCTGTACACATCTTGAGGATGAAAGTCACCTGGAGGCATCAACTCGCCTGCCGCAATAGAAGCAAGTGGTTAGGTGTGAGAGCTTCTGCATCCCGCACATTGTCCGATACATCAGTGAGCGGTCTGCTATTGATTATTGCTTCAACCTCACAGAAGAGTGTATGAAGACACTCATCAGACAGTCCTTTTTCCCTGCATAACAGTCCATTCAACACTTTGCGCACAGTCCTTATCTGCCGCTCCCATACACCGCCCATATGGGATGCCGTTGGAGGGTTAAACTCCCACTGAATGTCTTTCCTAGTCAGAAAATCATCAATTTGTTTCAAGTTCCATGCTTGAATTGCCTCTTTGAGCTCTCTGCAAGCTCCCTTGAAATTAGACCCGTTATCAGTCCTAATTTTCTCTGGTTTGCCTCTGCGAATCACAAATCGCCGAAGTGCGTCGATGAAGGAGTCTGTATTCATTGAATCCAATTTCTCGATATGGACTGCTCTGGTAGTTAGACACGTAAAGATACAGCCATAACGCTTCACAATGCTTCTGGCCCTTTTTACCTCGAATGGCCCAAAACAGTCGATACCTACATAAGTGAATGGCGGTCGATGAGGCGTAACTCGATCTGTAGGCAGTTGCGCCATTTGTTGAGCACCCTTAGCACTCTGAATTTTCCGACAATGAACACATTTCCTGAATATGGATTTGAGCATAACTCTGGCCCCGATTATCCAGAATCTTTGTCGCAGATATGATAAAACATGCTCAGTCCCAGAGTGGCCCAAGATCTCATGGGCATGATAGGCGATCAGTCGGCCGACATAATGATCTTTTGGTAAAATCATCTGATGTTTCGCCTGCTCGGTGATAGGAGCATTGGATAGCCTGCCTCCAACACAGAGAATTCCCTTGGAACTGATCATTGGCTCTAACTGGTGTATAGGACTTGATTTCTTGACTGTTCGACCTAGTTTCAGTTCTTGAATTTCTGATGTGAAGTGACGTTTCTGCAAATATTTCACAATTTCGAGTTCGGCAGTCCTCATTTCATCTACTGAAAGAGATTTTGTGGATATTTTATTGTCCTGTTTCTGTTTCGAACCACTCACTTTCAGTAGAAGGCATTGTTTGAGTCTTAGAATCCAACAAACTATTTTCTTCAGCTTGATCCAGGATGAATACCTCTTTAATAGCCTGTCTGTAGCATACTCCTCCATTCCAATGTCAGAAAAGAAAACCTTGCTTTTCCTTACTTCAAGTTCTGTCGGGTCAACATCAAACAGGTCGGGAGTTGCAGGCCATTTGCTTTCTTCCATCCACAGGAATTCTGGACCCTTTATCCACTGTCCGCAGTTGACAATCTGACTTGCGTACATGCCGCGAGATGAGTAATCACCCAGGTTCAGTTCAGATTTCACATATCGCCAGTCTGACGACGAAGTCGATTCCTGGATTGTACTTATTCTGTTGGCAACAAAGGTTTGAAACCGCAGTCTCTCGCTCTTAATGTAATGGAGTACAATCGTACTATCCGTCCAAAAGGTAAAACTGATGATGTTCAGGTTTAATTCTTGTAGGAGTGTCTCATTCAGTTTTACTGATACAACCGCAGCGGACAGCTCAAGTCTCGGAATGGTGCTTTCTTTAATAGGTGGCACTCTGGCCTTTCCCATCAAGAATGAACAATGAATTTCCGCATCTGTGTTTATTGCTCTGAGATAAGACACTGCTCCATAGCCGTTTAGTGATGCGTCAGAGAAGTGATGTAGCTCACACTTCACGATTTCGCCAAAGTCCGCAGGAAATAGACACCTGGGGATTCTCAATTTCTCGGAGATCAAGGAGCCAGTCCATGAACTTTCGAACACTGTCCGGTTCAAGTGCATCATCCCATTCTTTCTTCAATCTGCACTCATGCTGAAATAGTCTCTTAGCTTTCAACATGACTGGACACACAACTCCAAAGGGGTCATAAACAGAACTTATGATGCTAATAAGTCCTCTGCGTGTCATCGGTTTCCTTTTAGGTTTCACAATAAACCCAAATTCATCTGTTTCAGTGTCCCAAACTACACAAAGTGGCGGCTCTTGTGGGAGAATGTTGTTGCCAAGGTCAATATTCTTCAGCTCCTTTGCTCGCTTTTCAGTTGGAATGGATTCCACTACTGTCCGACTGTTACTAGTCCATTTAGTAATATTGAATCCACCTCACTGGAGTAAATTGCTAGTTTCCTTTACAAGATGAATTGCTCTTTCGTCTGAAGTTGTTGGCAGTCGTCGACGTAGAAGTTGTCTAACACTGTTCTCACTGTCTCTTCTTCAAAGTCTACTGTGTTGTCCTGAGCGGTGCGCTGTACAGCATAACTAGCACAACTGGGGCTCCATACCCCTCCAAAAATATGAACAATCATCCGAAATATCTCTGGTTTGAGGGATAGGTTTCCTCCTGGCCACCAGAGGAATCTCAATACAGCTTCGATATCCCCCATGATAGCAAATTGTCCCTCTCGGAAACGCTGAAGTACTCCGATTAGCTTATTAGTGAGATCCGGTCCTTGAAGTACTTCTTCGTTAAGGCTTGTCCCCAAGTACTTTGCTGAACAATCAAACACGATTCTCACTTTATCCGGCTTCTTGTCGCTTGTAACGGCATGATGCGGCAGATACCACACAGGTCTTTCAGTTGTAATTTCATCATCGTCAACCTTTTCTGCATAACCCTTTTCAAGTAAGTCCTCTATGCCCTTTGAATAGTTGTCATGAAGGGTTTCATTTTTCTTCAACTTCCTTCCTAGGGATTCAAGTCTAGCTTCAGCGATGCAGTAGTTGTTCGGCATGTTCGGTTCTTCCATCTTGAATGGTATAGGCATGCTGTAATGCCCGTCGATAACTTGAGCCGTATTCTTCCACAGGTTAAGTACATATTTGTCTTGTATGGACATTTGCTGACGGTTATCCATCTGCATGCCACAGGAATCCAATGTCCTAAGTCTTTCTAAACAAGTTGTAAGATCAGCTTGAATGTAGTTGGAGACTACTGTGACCGGTTTGCCATATTCCAAAGGTCCGTTCAGGGTCCAGCCGAAAACGGTAAGCACGGCATACGGTTCGTTTATTTTCCCTCTTCTAATGTCAAGTGGTGCTATAGCTCCAGGATTGTCCTGTCCAATGAGTATAGAGATCTTTGACTCATTGACTTGTGGCAAATGTATGTCTTGCATGTGTGGCCAGTTGTCAACGTCTGTCTGTGACACTTTATTCCTTTCCGGAACTGGCATATTGGGAATAACATAAACATAGGGCAACCTCAATTGATTCCTTCCATCCAGATCCGCAATTTCAAGCGAGATACAGGTGGTTTCCAATGGACAGTCTTCATTTGTCAGAGTTATAAGAGACAAGGATGTCTTTGCTCCCTGCAGGCCGAGCTGGTCATATAATTCTTGGGAGCAGAAGGAATTCGTACTGCCACTGTCCAGGAAGGCATAGGTTGTTTAAGCACTCTTCTCCGCTCTTCCTCGAACTGTAACGGGTACAACTGGCAATGCTACCCTACATATGCCGGCCCCATTGACATCACGAATTGAATGGTGAGTAGAGAAGGTCTGTGTTCCATGATGTTGTTGGTTTGAGTGTGAGTTCCTGCTTAACTGTTGGGTTCTCTTCGGTAGTTCACTTTCCACTGGCACGCCAGAATGAATATTCCTGTATGTCTGCAAGGCATGATGTAACAGAGTTGAATGTCTCTTGTTGCATCTATCAATACGACACATGCTTTCCTTGGTACATTCATACGACACATGATTCTTAGCAAAGCAGTTAAAACATAATTTTTCTTCTTGCATGAATTTCAGTCTATCTTCAGAATTCATTTGTCTAAATGTGTTGCACATGTAGATTGCATGATCCCCAGAGCATAACTTGCAACTTGACTTAGTGTTTCTGTACTTCATGACAGTTTGTAAGGCTGTTCCCTTGCTATCGTGTCCTCTTGATGGTCCCTCTCTGTTGTCAAAGCGAATATTCCCGAAGACTGGGTCGTTAGCCTCATCGGCAACCATCTCAATGAATTGAGCAAATTCATGAATGTTTGGGTAATGTCTGTGTGTCCTGAGATGGCTGACTGCTTGATTTCTCCATCTGTTCTGTAGATAGACCGGGAGTTTTTCTGTCATTTCCTTATCCTGTCTTGGTTATCAACCTCTGTGAGTCTCCCCATGGCTGATAAAGTGACTATACAGCTCTTCACCGAGTCCGCATACTGACGCAAGGCTGCATTGTCTCCATTCCGCAGTACTGGTCTCTCAGTGACTCTTTGAATCCATGCACGCGAAATAACAAACTGGTTGCGGAATCGCTCCTGCAGAATTCTTCTTGCCTCCTTATAACCATAGTCTTGGTTCATGACGGCACAACACTCTATGACCGAAAGTGCTTTGCCACTGCAATACTGTAGGAGTCTTGTCAGTTTGGCAGTGTCACTTATTGAAGTTGATCCAATACTTGAGTGGATCACCATCAAATTTAATCAGGTCTGCTCTAGGGAGATGAATCATTTTCAGAATCTCCTTGCTACTCTCAGACACTGGTGGCTGTGTAAGCTCCTGTTTACGGTCTCTCTCTGGTTTGATCGGGTTACTTGGAAGAGAATCTGATTTCAGCTGAAACTCTTCAGTCCTGGGGTTCAGCATGGATGTAGCTGGAAGAGGCCTCTTAACTGTACTCCCGTACAGTGGCGATCTCTGTTTCTAACTTAAGGGCTTCCTCTTGCAGTTGCAGTTCCATCACCTGACGCTTCAATGACTGTTGTTTCTTTAGAGCCTCGGCTCTCACACGAAGCGCTGCTGCCCTAGCTTCGGCCACCTTCACATGTGATGCTACCGACTTCACGCTGGCCTGACTTGCAGAATCTTCGGGTTTAATCTCCCGACTGTCTTTGACCATAAAAACCCTAATTTCTGCTGCTTATTTACTATATCTATCCTTGAGGGCATTATAATATTCATCAACTTGCTTGAATTCCACTGGATCATGGACAACTAATTCCTTCAACTGCATAGACTTCACAACAATTCTGTCTAATGTTTCTTTCATAAGTTCTAGTTCTTCTTCAAGAGAAACTGCACTTGGGTTGCCCTTCTGTATCATCAGTCTTATTCCCTTCTCTATTTTACTAAAGTATGACACAATTCCTCCTCTCTCCTTTCGGAGCTTGGATATTATTTCAATTTTTTGCATGTCTTCAGTGTCTTGTAAAGTTTCTTTATCTGTACATCCACTTATGACAGACATATTTGTTGATTAAAGTTGTTAAATTTCTTGAACTTTTTGTGGGAATAAATAAATGGGCGACCTTTAATCTTGAACTCAGCCTAATAGCGACTTTTCCCAGGAAGCGTTCCCCGGACAATATGGAGATTCCCCAACACGGCAGCCTTCTAAAATACCCAGAGTGTCAGAAGGGGTGTGCTGCTGATAGAGTACCAGTGCAATTCTTGATCTCTCTGCGTCAATGTCTCATATTAAAACATAGTATGCAGTAGAGAGGGCTTGAGTGGTCATGTAAGGCCCTTCTACAGGTCAGGTAGCCTTGCCCCCTGTGGGAATAAATAACTGGGCGACCTTTAATCTTGAACTCGTGAGTTTATTGTTTGAGTTGACTATGCTGTGTAGTAGGTTCAAGCTGGTTAAAGAAGTAAGAAAACAACATTTAGTTAAAATATCCTAGCAAATAATGATATACAAACACATATTACATAATAGTCTGTGTAAGACCAATAAAACAATGATTTCATAGTGGCACGAAAATAGGTGACACACAACCATGTGCTCGTGCTCGTCAAGTTGAGGTTTACAGAAAACACTTTACCATTAAAATTAATAGTACCTGACAAAACTACTTGAAAAGTGTTGCAATACTAATAGAAACAATGCTTACAAATTTTAGGCCCATTATCCTCCACAAAGGTAGGTGTAAAAAGTGAAAAGTAGAATGTTGTCTACCGCAGCAGACGTTCATCGTTCATAGCTCTCCGTTCACAACCACGAGGTCACCGCAGCGATTAGAGTTATCTGCCCCAGAACTTCCGGCCTTGTTGAGGCAACAGATAGTTGCGTGAAGCGCACGTAAAATCTTTATAAAAGATTAAAGCAAATAAATCTCTACACCCCCCTCTACATGCAGGACAGACAGTGAATGGGATTTCTTCCAGGATGTGAAGGCATCTCGATCCCACCAAGACCTTTCCGGAGAATATGTAGACACGTATGTAAGAATTGGAATATCTTAAGAACTGTTGACTAGATTCTTATCATACTTGGTACCTACGTACCTACGTTTTTTGATAAGCAATTTCTTTATTACTATTTTTTGCATATTCCAATACACCATGACATTCATGTCAAGGTCAAAGTGAGTCTTGAAGATATTTGTGTGTTTGAACAGCTACAGAGCAAGATATCAAGAGAGGTTGACTGGTCATGTTTTTGTTGACATTTAACTTCATCTTAAACTACGATCTTCACTTTCATTACATTTTAGGTTTGATTTGATAATTTGCGGAGGGGGATTATGTCACCTTAGTGACAACTGCATCTTTTCTTGTTTCTTCCAATCAACAATTTTAACAGAATATAGAGGAAGGGCACAGTATCAATATTTGTGACCTTGACTTTGTTCCGAGGCCTTCAGCTTCGAACTCCAGATTTTCTTAAGACTTGATCAACCACATTATGAGAATGATGGAAGACTGCTACGGCTTACAGAGGCCTCAGAGCCACGGGCCCCAGAGCCCACCCCATACTAAGTCATACAGGGCCCCAAAGCCCGCCTTGACTTCGCGTAGGGCCCCTGAGCCCATAGACGCGCCTCCGCGAAGGGCCCGGA